GACCGCCCCGACATCGGAGGTCCCCGAGCCGCGTTTTAACTGGAAGGCAGAAACACAGGGTACCTGGTCCTGCTGGCCGCCGCGCTGGCGGCACGGGGACGGGGCTGCGAGGAGGCCGTGACGAATTCGCATCCCATTTTCAAGCACTGTATCCTACTACTGCATGTCGAGTTCCGTGTGTGTGCCTGCGCGTGCCGAATGCTTGCGTCAGTAGTTAGAGCGAGTGTGACCGGGAGAAATCCAAGAAGCATGTCTTAGCTGTCGTGCTGTCAGTGTTACTGCACAAGAGTTTAACAGATGTTAACACCAAATGACTAGTCTGAGAAATGTACTTTTAAAAAAAAAAAAAAAATTATTTATTTGGGTTCAGATATTTTTGAAATACAAAACAAACAAAAAAATTGGTTGTATTTTTTCAAGCTTATAATTATTGTCATACGTTGTGGTTTAATCTGGGGCGAGAGTCCCCGAGGGAGGAGGCGTCTCGGTCAGTGAGCAGTGCAGGTGACCCGGGCAGAGTGGGACTCCCCGTGTCCTGCCTGCCACGCGGCTCCGGCGCAGGGCTCCTCGCGGGAGCCTCTTCCCTGCTGGAAAACGACCCGATGCTGTTGGGGTTGGCGGAGGGACGGACGAACCTTCTTCCTGCTGGCTCTCTCCCTCCCTCCTGTCTCCCTCCAGGCTGACAGCGTGCAGAGCAGGACCAACAGTTAGTGTTGGCTGACCTCATAGTCACAGTGGTCTCTACCTGTGGTGTTCAGCTGCGCTCATAAATTGATTAATAACTCGCTTCTCCCTCTATCAAACCTGTAGTATCCGATATTCCAGGCTGTGTTGAGCAATACTTGCGCTCCCGCCTGCCTGACCCGCTTGGTGCCCTGGTGTGGGAGGGTGCCCCGGGGGCTTGGCCCGCCCGTTTGGAGCGCTGCGCTGTCTGCCTGCGGCTCGGCTGCTGTGGGGAATTGCGCCGTGGAGGACTGGTCCTTGGCAGCGTAACCTCTGCGCTTGGACTCCGGGCAAGGGGGAGCTGCCTGGGGCTGCAGCCCCTCGGTGCTGCCCCTGACGGCGGCAGAAATCGGGGCAGGCTGAGGGCAGCTGGTGGTTCTGGAGCTGAATTCCTTTTTGCTCATTAATTCCTCTGTCTGCCCTGCTGCTCCGGGACAGTACAGATCCCTGTATCGGCACTTTAAGACTTTTTCCTCATCTTCACTGTGGTACCTCGCTCGTTTCCGATATGAGCAGACTGAAAACAAATTGCAATCTTGATGCCAACAGCTCTCGTGACGACCCTTGCGCCGTGCCGCCATCCAGCTGTCCTTCCACTGCTTGCGGGGCCGGCTCCCGAGCTTCCCCGAGCGCTGCCGGCGTGCCCCTGCCTCCTGCTGGGCTGGCACCACTCCCCCCACTCGCTGTTGGGGAGAGGGGGCTTCGAGCCCGACCGGGGATCCGTCAGAGCTGAGCTCTGCCCTGCTTTTCTTGCTCCTCGGTCGCTGGGAGCCGGCCGGCCAGCTCCTGCTCTGCGCTGCTTCCCGCTCCCGCGAGGGTCAGCTGTGGGAGGGGGCGATACGAACCCTGCGCTGGTTCCGTTTCTCCCAGAGCAGCGCTCGGGTTTACTTCCATCCAGCAGCAATCCCTCCTAAGCAGCGCCCAAGCTGCCTTGCCTTGACGAGGGAAGTGCTGCCTCTACTCTAGCAATATTCACCCTTTGGCAGGGGGTGGGAGAGGCGCTGGCGGGGCGAGGGCAGGTGGCCCTGTTCTTTGGTGTTCATCAAGCGCGGGGAGCCCGGATCTGGTGGTGGGTTCAGCGTCCTGGAGAGCGGGGCGGGACGTGGGGGCTGCAGCGGCGCTTGGGGAAGGCTCCGGTAGCGCGGTGCGACGGGAAGCTGAGCGAGCTGCCCCGGCTGAAGGAGAGCGCCCCGACATCGGAGGTCCCCGAGCCGCGTTTTAACTGGAAGGCAGAAACACAGGGTACCTGGTCCTGCTGGCCGCCGCGCTGGCGGGCCGGGGACGGGGCTGCGAGGAGGCCGTGACGAATTCGCATCCCATTTTCAAGCACTGTATCCTACTACTGCATGTCGAGTTCCGTGTGTGTGCCTGCGCGTGCCGAATGCTTGCGTCAGTAGTTAGAGCGAGTGTGACCGGGAGAAATCCAAGAAGCATGTCTTAGCTGTCGTGCTGTCAGTGTTACTGCACAAGAGTTTAACAGATGTTAACACCAAATGACTAGTCTGAGAAATGTACTTTTAAAAAAAAAAAAAAATTATTTATTTGGGTTCAGATATTTTTGAAATACAAAACAAACAAAAAAATTGGTTGTATTTTTTAAAGCTTATAATTCTTGTCATACGTTGTGGTTCAATTCTTAATTTTACCGTGCTTATTAAAAAATGGTTCTACCTACGCTTTGTGCTCAGAGGTCTGAGAAAACACCGGAGCCGCCGGCGCGGCCGGGATGGTGATCCGGGAGGGCCTGGGGGGAGGCTGGAAGGCACCGAGGCGAGCTCAGGCGCACGAAGGGGAATCCTCGAGGCTGAAACCGGGGGTGCTTTTGGCAGCCATGAAGTCTCTGACGTGCGGCTGAGCGTGGTGCGCCTGAACCTCGTCGGTGAGCGCAGGATCAGGCCTGGCCGCGAGGCTGAGGGTTACGCAGCACTCAGTCCCGAAGGCAGCATCGCGCGGCGAAGGGGCTGGTTTCCCCACGGGGGTCCTGCGCCCCAAACGGGAGGGGAGAGCTGAGCGAGAGCGGAACAAGGAGCTGCTGCTGCGCCGCGGCCAGGGCTGGCGGGGCCGTGCGGGGAGAAGGCACTGGGGTGCTGGTCTC